ATTTTGTGCTTATTCTTTCGCATTCATTCAACATTAATGTATAGTCCGATGAAATTTTAACAGGGAAATTTTTGAAGTGGAACTTAATCAAAAATACCTAACCTCAATACTGTGAGAAGTCATGGGAAGATAACTTCATTTATACCGAGATAATAATTCAGTACTAATATGCTGCTGCAATCCACAATTCTCATATATGTACAACAAAGATTTCCATAATTGTGAGCCAAGTTTCCACTGTAATCTCCATTATCTGACGTTTAAATTTGTGTAAATTCATGATCTCTAAAAGTGCTTATTGAGAACTATTATGAACAAAACACGTACGGATGAAAAATCACAAAACTAGTATAAAGATTCGGTTCTTACCTCACAGGAAGCAAATTACGTCTCCGCTACAAAGCCCAACCGGTTAATGCTGTTTAGGGAAACAGTCTCTGTTTATTGTGAGAACCATATGTAACACATAGATACACTCTGTGGGCAGAAAACTCAGTCCGTACCTCACGGAAAACACATTACATCTGCGCTACAAAGCCCAACCGGTTACTGCTGTTTATTGTGAGAACCTTACGGAACACACAGATACACTCTGTGGGCAGAAAACTCAGTCCGTAGCTCACAGGAAACACATTACGTCCCCCCTACAAAGCCCAACCGGTTAATGCTAATTATTGTGAGACCCATACGGAAAACACAAATACACTGTTGTGAGCAGAATGCTGAGTTTTATGTGTTAAAGCAGATGGTACATATAGTAACCAATGGGCTTTAAAATTTTAATGTAACTTCGCATCCAAAACGAAACACTGTAGTTGAATTCAGACTCTCAAAGCAGCCTCCGTCCTCGAAATAAAGGAATACTTCGAACGTCTCAAACAAAGGAGTGCGGTTTTCCTGTTTATTTGCTTGCGGTATCTCAGAAACAGATGAATTGACGGGCATTCCCCTCTATTATGCAATACGTCTAGTCCCAGTGTTGAAACGTGACCGTCACTTTCTAATGGCAGAACACAGATTAAGGGTATCTTACGAGATTATTTGGACACAAGGGAAATGTGGCAAGAAAAGGACTGAGAGAACCACACAATCTGGACCATCATAATTTATACGTATTTTTCACCAAATAATGTTAAGGTAAGGAAGTCACTTATTTCAAGTCGGCTATTTAACGACGCTCAGTATCGAGACTATATATAGAGTCGATGATATGATGATTAATATGTGGAGAAATCGGTGGATGAGAATTGGCAGGGAAAACTTAGGGAGAATCTGCCCCAGTGACACTTTGCCTACCAAAAATCCCACATGACAGAACCTAGGAAGGACACTGGCCACCATGATGGGAAGCCGACGACTAACCTCCTGAACTACAGCAGACCAAATCAAGAAACAGGTGAGTGACACCAGAAATTCACATACAATTTTAATTGGAAGTTCTGATAGAAAGAGATTACGTGGGAGAAACAGATGTAAATGGGATATTAAATAAAAAGTGAAGTATATGGACGAATGTGGACTCTGTTCATCTGGCACAGGATAGAAATCAATGGCGGTATCTTGTGAACACGGCAATGAAGCTTTTGGTTTCATACAACGCGAAGTACTTGGTGTATGATCTCAATGCATTAAGGGAGGTGCATGCTATGTTATTCATCAGCTGCTCTGTGAGTTTGCCTGCATCCAAATTTACTTTCAATATCTGATGTAACATACATCATGACATGACACTTCAATTTCTTTGTGTTGTACCTAAGGAGGCTCTCAGTAGCTCGAGGTGTGTACAGGTATATGCAGCTTCGGATGAGTGAATGAAATGGGAAAGAGATGGACCGATATTCCGGCATATTCTGCAGGCACAGACGAGAAATGAGAAATTTCAATTACTTCAGTCGGTGTGCAAGGCGAGATTGACCCGAGCGCTCCGGGACCCGGGAATTGCCGAAGGCCTTCTCTTAATATCTGAATCCACGTGTACCACAAAGGGTAGGAAGGAGTAGGGAGAATCCTGGCCCCTCCCATGGATTTTGGAAAACAATCAATATTAAAAATTGCGGAAAATTTATATAAAAAATTAAAACGTTAAAAACTCTTACTTCCTGAATGCTTTAAGGTGACCAGTGAAAATAGACTTAAACGGTTAAACATATATTTGTAAGCAAATTTTATGGTTCCTCCCCCCAAATCCTGGGGGTTCCGGTGCCCCAATTAATATTTGTATTTACACGTAGGAACACATACAAAATCACATAAACGTTATGGAACTCGAGGTTCTAACAGCTCTTGTTAAGAAGTGTGCTACGTTCTGCGATATAACACCGTGTAGCTCTGTAGAAGCTCAATGACGTTTCGGAGGAACATATTGTTTCCAACTTAAGGGATGAACAGTAATCAAAGCAAGAACCCAGCATGAACTCTCGGCTTGCATGCTGATTTCTTGCCTAGTTTACATTTCAACCCTGAAAACTGAGCCGATATATTCTTCCGAAGCTACATTTGCCTTTCACCGGGCTAGACGGCGTTACAGCACTTCTCACAGATATTCATGACTGCATTCAGTCGTGTTATGAACTTGTGCTCCTCTCTGACCTCTGCTATTACAACACGCTGTAATACCTCCGGCGCTACAGAAGAAAAACAAATGTACTGTACGTGTAATACTGAGTGAATGCTGATTCAAATGCCATTACGTTCGTGTGGGAAGGCTAAGGTAGGCAATCCGCCGTACGTAGGAAAGAGTTGCCTACGCAAGCGTAAAGGTCATGCATACAACCGAAAGAAAATTCTTCAGTTCCAATGGATTACGTCTCATCCAAGCTGGAAAGAAATATGATTCGAGAGATTTGAATAAGAAAAGAACTTGGACTAATTTATCTGTTGAATATAATAAGACCGTTGAGTTTTAAGATTCCTTTTACGACCTTCAGAGTTATGACACCGTGTAATCTGGGAGGTGAATATCAACGTTTTTTAGGAGTACCAGACTTCACGGTGTCATAATTTATAGGACCTTGTTGAATGATGTACCGAAAACTCTCTTGACTCTTTCGAAAAGTTCCCGGTTCGAATCTTGGTAGGGGCATCAGCTGTCATGTTTCTGTTGTTTTATCCAGTCTCTCTAGGCATATGCCGGAACGTTACCTCGATTTGGCCTTTACCGGTTCCTTTCAGATCCTCTTTAATTCATTATTTATCCCATCATTCGATGCTCTATAGTCTAGCTACTGACAACGTCGTAAATGAATTTTCCAGCACACATAATATCAATCTTCATAGCGCTGAAAACCTCAGATCAAATATAGATCCTTGGATTATTTATAGACGTCATTTCAACTGAAAAGATTGTGCAGTGCCTAATTATGATGAACAGACTATCATCTTCTGAGATGTGACGCGACTTGTTAGCTTCTTACTGGTTGATTGCTTCACTAATTATTCTATCCTGAAGATGGAAGTAGGATGTTAATCCAAACGTCTGTGAACGTCTATCGGACTATAATGCATCATATGCCAGAAGGAACTACTCTTCATAGCCACCGCTGAGGTAACCACAAGTACAACATAGCGTCTAATTAGATAGGTAGTTGATCATGAATAGGTAATTATCTGGAAAGTGTCAATTGTATCCTGTTTCAAGTCACTATATCAATACTCGCCTGGAGACAGTGTATAAGGGCAAGAGGAGTGTTAGGATAAGAGATAACGTGGCGGAGAGTCGAAGCGGTTACGTTTCAGAACAAAAGTCTCCATAGATGCAACTGACATACGTGGACAGATAGATTCCCTGAACAAACGTGACTTACTTAACAGCTTTACCTTCTACAGCCAACTAGTTACTATATGTACCATTTGCTTTAACATGCTAAAACTGTGCATTCTGCCCACAGAGTGTATTTGTCTGTTCCGTGTAGTTCTCACAATAAACAGCGACTGTTTCCCTAAACAGCATTAACCGGTTGGGCTTTGTAGCGGAGACGTAATGTGTTTCCTGTGAGGTAGGAACTGAGTTTTCTGCCCACAGAGTGTATCTGTGTGTTCCGTACAGTTTTCACAATAAACAGCGACTGTTTTCCTAAACAGCATTAACAGCTTGATCTTTGTAATTGAGACACGTACTTCAGTCTGTGAGAAAGGATATAACATTCCAAATATTATTTAATTTATTTCCTTTTCGTTTATGCAATGAAGCTACATTAACTGTAGATGTTATTTGGAAAACAGTGGCTAAAACTGGACGGACTGTGAAATGTAAATTAATTAAATTGCGGAAGAAGTGAATCGACCCAATTTAGTTGGCTACATCAGCAGTTGCCGTCTGGTGCAAAACAGAGAAATGTCTTCCTCAGGAGACTCATGCCCTGTACTATGCATTGTACTCTGCAGATTGTTTTACTTATTATAAATCTTGTACATTTATTTCTTATTTAACGACGATCATTTGCTCAGTCTATATAGGATCAGATGATTATTTCAGTAAATAATGAATTGAAAAGGACTAAGAAAGAATCGGTCTTGTCATAATTTGAGGTAATATTTACACATTTATACGACGAGACTGAGGAAAATTACGGAGAATCTCATTCAGGAAAGTCGCGTCCCGGCTGATTAGAACCGATAACCTACAGAATACAAGTAAGTTTTACGGCTTGCTCAAACTTTCTCAATAAGTGTGTAAAAAGGGATTTTTATTTTTAATCTTAATATCGGCGAGTTTTCTTTTCATTACACTGGGCCCATTTCTTTTCCTTGGCCATTCAGGAAAATTCTGTTCTAGAAAAGATGAGATTCGGTACACGTTTGTAAAGACATGTTTAAAATCCTACGAATATAGGGAGCTAAAAGACGAAACCAGCAACTGAGTAACAAGTATTAAAGAACAGAATTTCGAAGTACGCACGTACGCCGGAGAGCTACGCCCCTTCCCCCCAACACACACATACACACACACACACACACACACACAGAACACGAACTGAATAAATAATAACAAATATTCTTACCTTTAACTTAGAGGATACATCCATTCCAAAATGGTGAAATCCATAATGTGAATCATACACACACACACTAAATATTACTTGGTTATACGTTAACCGTTTTTATTCACAAGTTATTAACAAAATCCACAAAGAAAACATCCAGAAAGTATATAATCACTCTTTGTTAAAGAATAAATAGAATTAAACACTTGAACTATATGTTTGTTTACAAATTACTAGTAATAATTCTGAGACACCGAGTATGCCCATGAGCACTGAAGGATGTGCTGCCCGCAACACCTCGCGTCTCGCCTAACCAGACTGCTACTGGTCGCGAAGAGACAGGCGCGTGGAAGCAGTGCAGTATGCATCGCACCTGGCGGCTTTACTAGCCAACCGCAACTCTCAATTCTCGTCACGTGGTACATCACCGACCACTAAGAAACAAGAGTTCAGCTCCATACAAGGAAAGGACAATGAAAATATGATTTTTGATGCTTTTAACTGTTATGATACATGCAGAACTGGGGCCAATTCTCCGAGTTGTACTCCTCTAGACAAGAATTACGAAGGTGCTGGGCTCGAATCCGGGATACCGATAAACCTGACTTTATTGTGGTTTTCCTCAGTCCCTCAGGCAAATGCCTGAACAATATTTTTCAAAATCCTCTCGAATGATGCATCATCTGGGGTTCTCACAGCGGTGGCTATGAAGAGCACCATCTTCGGGGATGTAACGCCGTGTTGTACGTTGAAAGTCAACTGACGTTTCGGAGGAACATGTCACCTCTGTTTTTAGGGTGGAAGAAAAAGCTAAACAACAAACCAGGCTGAAGTCGGCAGCAAGCGCAGCTTGAAGCAAACGGCTTTCTTGCTTTACTTAGTGTTAAACACTGAAGATGGAAGCGACATGTTCCTCCTAAACGTCGTTTGTCTTTCAACGGACTACACAGCGTTATATACCAGAAAATACAAATCTTGGTGTCCAGTTACTCATTCTACCATTAGACACTATGTACTCCGAGTTACGGAGAGCATCGTAAAATAAACAATATACATAACAAACGGAATAGCTCAGTCAGCATAGTGACTAGGCTACAGGGTGCACTATCAATGTACTGTAGTTCGATTCTGGACAAGAATAAGAGATTTTTATTCTTTTCACAGAATTCAGACAGGCTCTGGGGCCCATCCAGCCTCATATTCCCGCAGGGGACATCATCAGGGGTGTAAAGATGACCACTCATCTCCATCCATTGCCGAGACTAAGAATGCATGGAGCCATACCTCCATTCCCCCCACATACTTTAACGGCATGGATTTAAATTAAGCACAGTTTGCCTTTCTGATTCGTGTAAACGTGTTACCGTACTGAGAGAAAGGGACGCTATTAAGATAGAGGATGACGCATGACGTCTTACACGAAAACTTCCAGCTTTGTGAGAAGAGTTTGTGGTTGTTACGGCACTGACTATGGAGGTCAGTGTTTTCTGGCCTGACGCGTCCTCCAGTCTGGAGGCTGTTTACCGACGTTTAGGACGAATATACTGTCCCCATCTTCGGTGTAAAGTAAAAAAGTAAAGCAAATCTATCCCTGTAACAGGCCATGGAGGCCCATAGGGTTGTGATACGTCGAGGCTCCCACATTTTCTCTAGACAATCGGTTCACAGATGGCGGTGAAGTTGTCAGCCTTACGCACCGGCCGCCCTTTCCCTCAAGAAGATTCCTGGTACTCATTTCTGTTAGAGGCTGAGTTGACCCCAGGGCCACAGAGCGGCTGGAAGGATTAGGTCAATTGGAAAAAATCCAATGACCTCACCGGGAATCGAACCTGCGATCTTCCGGCTTGTTGCATAGTGCCTAAAACAACCACTCTACCGCATTCCCCAACTTTAAAATTAATTCCTGTTTACTAAGAAACGCATTTCCCTTTTATACATTTAAAATTTCTCTTTTATGACCCTCGAAACAATATCGTCTGTAGAGCCAGAAACGGAAGCAGTTATCGTGAGAAGCGTTTGAATTCCTGGAGGCAAATACAAGCATTCTCAAGGAAATTGTATGCTTTTAAAGGAAAGAGAACAGGCTCAAGACACGCATAAGGACTTGTTCACTTTTACAGTGGCTTAGGGCATTTGGAAACGGAGTGAGACCATAGAAATGTACGTGCGTTGGTAGGACACGCTCAGACAAGGGAACTGAGAGCCACAGCAGTTCCCAAGAACTTCTCTCTACAGCAGGACAGCAGATTGCAATGGAATATCTGCAAGCACATTAGTAATGAGAATTTCATGAGTAAGTCAATGGTAAAAGTTAAAAATTATACCTATGCGTAAATAATTAATCAAGCACTACGCCATGAAGGTGTTTAGGGGGTGGAGTTATAACTCAAACATGCTTGACCTAGGCATTAGAAGGAGGTCAGTGGTGATCTGCACTCTCCGGCCGCCTTACCTCCTGGGAGAGAACCCCACGTTATCCTTTTGGCAAGAGGTTGACGCTGAGAACAGTAAAACCTCTTGCCCCTACCGCGACTCGAACCCCGGGCGTTTACCCATATCCCGCCCTTATACTGACTGAGCTATCACGCAAATATATTGAATCGTAGGTCCCTTAATAATTATGATGCAAATATTGATGGTTTATTGTAGTAAATATATATTTTATTATTTTAGTTTCTTGGGGTGGGGTGAGACTGCATCCATTTTGTACGTCGGCCAATTAATTGGTCTATTGTACCAGCTCCGGATAATAGATGATCAGCGTGGAGCAGTCGGTTGAATGAAAATTGGTAGGAGAAACCGAAGTATTCGGAAAAAACCTGCCTCAGTGCCACTTTGTCCACCATAAATCCCACATGACCTGACCTGGGGTGGCCTGAGCTATGGCATGTACGAGATCTGAATATAAACTAATCCAGATTACTAACGCTACACCAAACTGATTGTTAAGTATTTAAGTATTCGTGGATATTTACATCCACGCCCCATATGTACCTTCGTGGAATGGTGTATAAGGACAGGGGCAATTTTACAATTATCTTTCAACTTTGTATCAAAAGTTCAAGCGGTCGTTAGCATGCCCAGATTTCATATATTGCCGACGGCACAGAGGTTCGTGTGTGGCGGGATTCTTGATAATAGGAGGGTGCTACAGGCTAGCCATCTGGCCCGCTCTTCCATTGCTTCGTCAGGAATGAGTGAGAGAGAACAGAGCGGTGTACGAGCATTCTCTGTCTGAAATTCATTTCAGTTTGCGCCTTCATACACGCAGATCCTCAGTAGATCATTAAAAGGTAAAGCTATCCCTGTAGCAGTCCATGGAGGCCCACAGGGTTGTGAGACGTCGAGGCTCCCACATTTCTCCTAGACAATCGGCTCACAGATGGCAGTGAGGTTGTCAGCCTTACGCTCAGGCCGCCCTTTATCTCCAGGGAAATTCCCGGTACTCATTCCTCTTAGAGGCTGTGTCGACCACAGGGTCATATTGCGGCTGGAAGGGTTAGGTCAATTGAAAAATCCAATGACCTCATCGGGAATCGAACCAGCGACCTTCCGGCTTGTAGCATAGTGCCTCAACCAGCTACGCTACCGCGTGCCAGCATTAGGTTCTTATTAGATGTTATTATTATATCGCTCTCTGTTTCCAGGAATTTCTTTCTTCAAACACGAGGCTCCATTTCCAAACACACGAATGGTTTTGGAACGAACAAAAATTTGGCTTTGTTTTCCGAGGGGGTCCCGAATTAAGGGGTTACACGGACACACAGACAGCAATGTGAACTCATAATATTCTTCATTTAATTGCTTTTATTTTTTTTTAATAATGAAAGTAGGCTAGATTTCTATCTTCTGGAATATAACGCCGTGTAGTCCGTTGAAAGTCAATCGACGTTTCGGAGGAACTGTCATTTTCATAGTGCTTGCTACCTGATTTATCGCTGTTTCTTGTTTGATTTATTTTCGACCATGAAGACGGAGGCGATATATATCTCAGAAGATAGTGTTCCTCATAACCACTGGCGTGAGAACATAAAATCCTGCATTGTCATTAGTTTTGCGATATTCTATTCGTAGAAGCATTCCAAAGAGCCATTTAGGAAAGTATTTGTGCTCTGAGTAAGAATTTTTCACGCTAGTTTTATAGATGGAAGAACCGAAGTTAGACAGGAATATTTCCCACGAAACGGGACGAAATCTAAGTGACACAGGAGTAATGGTAGGGGCACGTTTTCTAATAAAGACAATTGGGTTGAATAATGAGAATTCTTTCTGTCGAATTTTCTGATCTAGCTGTTAATTCGTGCTTTATTTGTGGCTTTGTTATACAGTGTTTGCAGTTTAAGACGATAGGGAATTTCCAAAGCAAATTCACCCATGACTTGGTTTTGTCAACAGAGGACTCTGTGTTACTTTCTCGGTTTATATAACGTTGATACCGTCCTACATCTCGAACTCTCATGTTATCACGGAACAGTAGTTAGAGAAACCCCAATTTTAGAACAATTGTAGGGTGCGTAATTAAGCAATGAAGACACACAAGCCGCTGATGTGTGGCATTAATGTTGACAGATCTCTAATTCAAGTGGGAGCAAAAAGACTGCATTCGCTCGTACAAACAATTATGCATCTAGAGAGAGTTCATAATACGAACTGCCGTTTCCTATATTCAGGTGTTATAATTGAGGTTAAGTTTTCGAACAACGAGAAAAAAAAGTCAACAAACAGACGTCTCCAAGTAAGATTTGAGGCTTTCACGGCGGTGACTATGAAGAAAGCAGTCTTCTGGGCTTTGGCGCCGTGTATATGTGGTGTTAACCGACGTTTCGGAGGAACGTATCGCCCCCATCTTCAGGGTTGAAGAAAAAGTANCTCCAAGTAATTACTATAGGATTCTGACCCAACAGAATAGGTGTTTCCCTTTTCCTTCACCTGAGGACGGAAGCAGATCCAGTTTCCGAAACGTCGTGTTTTTATTTGTTATCTTAAAAACCAGGACGATGGATAAAGTCCAGAAACCCAATATATCAGACGTCTCCAATCTTAATAGTATGCATCCTGTTGTGTGTTATAAATAAGGTACATGAAAGTATATAAGGTATCCAGTCTACACAACAATATTCTGTATTTAAAGAAAAAGAAGACATTACTGTGTCAACATTTGTTTATATTATGTTATTATAGACGCAACATGTTTCGACCTTCATGCCGGGAGTAAAATGCTCAGACTTCGGTTACTGAATTGCAATTAATTCTCATCTGATTCTTCAAATAAAGGATCCGTATTATGTCTTGAAATTATTGAAATGCATAAATTCACAAATTGAGTATATTTGGTCAAAATTTTAAATGTAAAAATTCTTAGATAATAAAATTTTAAAATTAAAGTTGTAAAAGTTAAAATTAGAAACTGAAGACTAAAACACGAAAGTTAAAATTGTACAAGAATGGAATATAAATACTTCTTGTGAAGAAAATCCTTGACCACCAAGTGTCGATCTTTTTTTTTTTTTACTAATTTTACTCGTGCTTAAAGAATCATATGCTCTGTAGAATTTATATTTGTCCCTGTAACAGGTCGTGGAGGCCCATAGGGTTGTGAGACGTCGAGGATCCCACATTTTCTAGACAATCGGCTCACAGATTGCAGTAAGGTTGTCACCCTTATGCGCAGGCCGCCCTTTACCCCCCAGGATGATTGTCGATAATTTCTGTTACGGGCTGAGTCGACCCCAGGTCCATAGTGCGGCTGGAAGGATTAAGTAAATTAAAGAAAGTCACTGACCTCATCGGGAATCCAACCCCCGACCTTCCTGCTTGTAGAACAGTGCCTCAACCAACTACGCTATCGCGTGCACCCCGCAACTGATAAGGCATGGACAAAAACACAAAGGAACTAGGACGATGAACCGTTAACCAGCCTAGGAATCAATCTATCGCGGCTTTCTTCATTTCCTTCAGGAAGCACAGTTAAACGAAGAGACTAAACTCGCTCAAGCAACCAGTCTATCGTTATGCAGAGACTGTGTGTTTGCCTTCTTGTGCTCCAACGAGTGTGAAAACAGATTTGTTACCGAAACCACGGATCTGCTCCTGTGCTGGAGATGTAAACAACAACAATAATAACACAAAGCTCGCAAGGCCAACAAGAGCGGAAGCTCTGCTGCCGGCGACAAGAGGTCTGCAGCTGACGGAAGACGCGGTTGAGTCATTCGTGTCAGCAAGGGCTGCGCAGTTTAATCACGACGAAGCCGCCGCCGCGATCCATCCTGGGAACATAGCACCGGGTCTGCCGACCGGAAGTTCAAGAAACCACAACAGAAACTCAGACCGGAAGGATATGGACATATGATAAGGATAAAACTGAAAACGTCACGCGCTGATATTTCCAGCGGGATTCTTTGGTTGTGGAGGAAGGGACAACAGAAACGGAGCCATGTACAGAGAAGGAAAGCTGTGGGTTCGTACTCCACGTCACCCCTTCCTTATGTATAACTTAACAAGAGCAACTGAAATATAATAAACCTATAAGATTTGAGGTTTTCATGGCGGTGAATATGAAGAATACCGTCTTCTGGGACGTGGCGCCGTGTAGATCTTGTGTGAACCGACGTTTCGGAGGATCGTATCCCATCACCCTGAAGATTGAGGCGATACGTTACGCCGAAACGTTGGTTCACATGCACGGCGCCACATCCCAGAAGACAGCATTCTTTATAACAAATCTCTCCCTGCCTTGAAGAAGTATGGAAGAGTGGAGGTATAGCTCCACCATTCTTGACCTCTGAACTAGATGGACATGAGTGCTTACGTTCACGTCCCAGCCACTTTACCTCCAGGGAAAGAACCCCACGGCCGGTTAGGACGCTGTAGAATAGAGAAAATCTCTTGTCTGTGTCAGGAATTGAACCTGGACCGCCAAGCCCAAAGCGCGTGGCTGTAAGGACAGAGCTGTCCCGGCTCCCAGGCATACGGGGGTTGCAAGTATAACTCCACGATTCTTAACACTGGAAAGAGATGAAGGGAAGAGGTCAGCTTCACGCCTCGTCCTCTTTATCTCCGGAGAAAGAGCCTCTGATGCTCATTGTGTAGGAGACTGGGTCTGGATACTGTGAAGAGTCCATTGTATTACTTCTTTCTCTACAATCACTTGGATGAGAACTCTGTGGTAACCGCGGGCAGGTAAGCATGATGAATTATACAGGGTGATTCACTAAAAGCTGATGATGAATTGATAATGACGCAATAATTTACAGACGAAAACGAAACCTGTCGAGTTTATACCTCGGTGGACGTGGAGATAATGGGCTCACAGAAGGAAATAAAATCGGTTTCCTTCTGCCTGGAGATACAGGCCGACGCAGTTCGCCATGTTGGCAAATGTTGCAGGAAAGATGGCGGGAGGGACTGTAGAAGGAAATAGCTCGCAACCGGTGAGCCAGACACCGGGTCACCGTTACAAAACAAGCAGTATTGCTAAGTTTTGTCTTTATCTGTAAATTATTGTGTGATTTATAATTATGAGTTTGAGTGTTGCTCTGTGTAAATAATCCAATCAATTTAGCTGAGGATGTACTGAGCACAGAACCTCAAGGTCGAGTGGGTACCTCTGTTTCGTATTTTTGGAGTCCTGGGTTTGAATACTCGCTTGGAAACCAGTTATCCTTTACTCCCACCAGAAAACTCGCTGCGATTTTAGGGTCTACCGCAGATTAGGCAAAAATAAATTCCTTCCGCAAACTTTTCCATTCGTCATTCAAAAATGATCCTACCATTCTGTTATATGCTCTCTAGAAAATGTGGAAGTCTCGACGTCTCACAACCCTATGGGCCTTCACGGTCTGTTACAGGGATAGCTTTGCTTCTTTTACATAACCAAGATACTGATTGACATTGGTGTAAAATAAACCACATACAAAGTGCATTAATTCCATTCCGGACTTCATGTTTGTCTGCAGGATACAAATGACACGATAGTGGTATCTGAACAGGAAATCTTTCCCGGTTCATGAGTTTGAACACACTTTTGTTATTACGTATGCATACATAGTGTTGCTTGCTCCGTGAAGACAAAGTGGTCAATCGCTGAGGGACTTCATACTAGGCACAACATGAAGGCTGTGAAAGTGAGTAATAACATTTCGCAAGTTGCATTTCTGTATAGAGATTTTGCAGCTCAGAAATTACAGTCTGCAGATATCAGGGGTGCCATAATCAAAAATGTTCTAGCACCAGCACTCATGATAGGACCCTTCACGTTGTCCTGGTGAGATTGGTAGTAGGCAGTAGAGTGCTTGGGGGTGACTGTAAGTACCCACCCCTGTGAATGCAGAATACAATGAATATAAATAAACTACACAAAAGTAAAAGAAGAAGAAGAAGATACCATAAAGAAAAACACACAAACTTTAATTGACGCAAGTAAGGAGGTTGGTCTATGAGTAAACACAGAGAAAACTAAGTGTATGTTGCTGTCTCCTCACCAAACTGCAGGGCAAAATCATGACATCAAGATAGGAAACAGATGTTTTGAAAATGTGGTACAGTTCAGATATTTGAGAACGGCTATAACAAATCAAAACCTGAAGCAGCAGACTGAACTCGGGTAATGCTTGCTACCATTCAGTCCAGAAAATTTTGCCTTCTCTTCTGCTGTCTAAAAACACAAACATTTGAACATATAACTCTATATATTTGCCTGTGGTTCTGTATGGGTGTGAAAGTTGGTCTCTCACATTAAGAAACATAGACTGAAGGTGTTTGAGAACAGGGTGTTGAGGAGAATATTTGGACCGGAGAGAGATGAAGTGACAGGAGGTTGGAGAAAACTGCATAATGAGGAGCTTCATAACTTGTACTCTTCTCCAAGTATAATTAGAATGATCAAGTCAAGGAGGATGAGATGGGCAGTGCATGTAGCACCAATAGAAGAGAAGTACGAGTACATGTAAGTTATTGGTGGGAAAGTCAGCAGGAAAGAGACCACTAGGAACACCAAGACGTAGGTGGGTGGACAATACTAAAATGGATCTTAGAGATATAAGATGGGATGATATGGTTTGATCTGGCTCAGGATAGGGACCAGTGGAAGTGGCAATGAACCTTCATGTTCCATAAATTTCTGGTAAGCTCTTAAGTAGCTGCACAACTGGCAGTTTCTCAAGAAGAGCTCGGCTCCATGAGGGAGTGACTTATTTATCTCTTGTATTCCTCCATCGTGGATTTCACCGAAGTTCTTACAATTTACGATATCTTGTCATGTGGTTGTTTGCATGACGGCCTTGAAGAAGTCACTGTCAGGCCGTATGATACGTACATATTGTACCTGCTTTTAGACACAATGGATAGCGCGTTTGGTCGAGCCTACCAAGTGAGACAAGGAGTATGGGCCGTCTACCACTTGTATCAGGGCCTTAGTTACAACGAGCCACCCTCCCTCAACCCCATAATGCTGTGCAACCACTGCGCAGCTACTTCTTGGTAAACATCTCCTCGTGCTCATACCCGAAAATCAGGTCCTAAAACGCCAAAATAAAGACGCAAGCAAATATGCGAATATGAAACAAAAAAGGTTCTACATAACAATAACAATATTAATTTCAATAACACGAAAGTAATAATTATGACATTTGAAGAGTTCAAACATGTTGTCGAGGAAATGAAAAGACAATGAGCAGGGTCCACCTTATGATATATTAGTATCTTGTCTGGCTTACACTTCGACCCTGAAGATGGAGAACGTACGTTCCTCTGAAACGTCGGTTGTCTTTCAACAGACTACTCTGTGATATATCACACAAGACAGAACAATTTTAATTTCAATTACTTATTAATAACTACTAACTCACCCTTGGAGCTGAGCCCCACTTGGGAAGCCGCCAATTCTGCAGCTACTCAGAATTTCCCAGTATTTAATGGAACCCGAAGGTTCATTACCCTGTTCACAAGAGCCCTTCACTGACCCCTTTCCTGAGCCAGATCAATCCAATCCATACCATCCTATCGTATCTCTCGAGGATCCATTTTAATATTGTCCACCCACCTATGTCTTGATCTTCCTAGTAGCGTTTTTCCTTCTGGCTTTTCCACCAATATCCTATATACATTCCTCTTCTCCCCCCATTCGTGCTACATGCCCTGTCCATACCATCATCCTTGACTTATCATTCTAATTATACTTGGCGAAGAGTACAAGTTATGAAGCTCCTCATTATGCAGTTTTCTCCAATCTGCTGTCACTTAATCTCCCTTCGGTCCAAATATTCTCCTCAACGCCCTGTTCTCAAACACCCTCAGTCTATGTCTCTCAATGTCAGAGACCAAGTTTCACACCCATACAGAACCATAGACAACATAGTTTTGCTATTCTAATTTTTATATTTTTAGACAGCAGATGAAAAAGCAAAAGGTTCTACAAACAATAAAATTAATAAATATTCTCATAACATTAATTATTGCTTTTGTCTGTATTTTCTTAACGACAAAATCAGTAACAAAGTCTATATGGCATGGAATGTCTGGATGATGGTGAGTGATTTGGAAATAATTTGAGAGGAAGTAGTGGTGGCATAATTTCGAGTATTAACTTGGCATCTTCTAGAGTGACTGAGAAGATCCAAGAGAAATATCTCATTCTAGTTCACGCTAAGATTCGAACCGATTACCTCTACAATAATAGTCAGAAACGTTAAGGTTTGAGGCAATTTCCTCAGTTTAACTACTGTTACACTTTAATTAAGCCACTAATTTGGGCCGCGCCATAGCTCAAGCGGTTCGCTGGCTTCCCACCGCGGCGGCCCGGGTTCGATCCCGGGTCTGGTCAAGTGGGATTTGTGGTGGACAAAGTGGTGCCGGGGCAGGTTTTCTCGAAGTACTTCGTTTTCCCCTGCCAATCTTCATTTCACCAATTGCTCCACAATCACCCTCACCTATCATCTGGGGCTGGTACAATAGGCCAGAAGTGGCCGCAGTACAAGGGACTTAGTCCCACCCCACTAGCAATAAAGAAAAGACACTAATTTTAATTTCTCCTTATATATACACATTTGTTCAGTCTGTCTCTACACGGGTTTGCTTATTCACTACACAAATGTTCAACTTTAGTCTTACGTAGATTTGCTTTTTCATTCTTTCAGGCAACGCTACTCACACTGACCATATTATCAACTGCCTACTTTGAGATAGCAGTCAACTTTCCGACGTCTTTTCCAGAACGAGATAACAGCTTTCCTGAAGCGGAACATAAAACACAATTCACTACGGAAAGCCAAAACAGCAGTAAATCGCTCAAATTTACCGGAAAGTCTCAGTTCAAGGAAACCCCGTACAGTGGAGATGTTGATGCAAGTCAGCGTAACTCGTCGCACGGCGATGGATCTTACGTCAATAATCAGAAAAATGGAAACCGCACCTTCGCATTCATAGTGGACAGGATATGGAAGCTAACACACCCAGATTTAGCAATATCAGAGCTGTGTTCCGATTGGAACATTACTTGCTCGCGAAAATGCACAGAATAGTTCGCATTACAAGGAATACACGATGTGTCCAGGTTCTGTTAGGACTGTGTTCATTAAACATATAAGACGTGAATTATTTTCAAACCTAATTTTACCCAACCAATCCCATTCTCCCAAGCTATGACGCAATGAGCAGATGGTTGCGCAGTTGTCTGATGCGTTGACTTAAATGGAGTAAACTGAGTGGTAAAAAGAACAGCTTTCACTCACAAATTCAAGCATCCATCTTATGGCTATTGTTGGAACGAGGGAACTGGAATACACTGTATTTCGCTCACCTTCAATTGCACGAAGTTCGTAGCAATTTTCGTTAAAATCCTTGAAGTGGTTCGCAAGTTGAAATTGGCAAGCACAGATATTGTCTTGCCGCCATTGTGGCACCCAAAACTCACTCGGTATGAAGGTCTAATATTGCGTTATGCAGACAAATTTATTTATAAAAATATATTTCAGCAGAGATACACAGATGTAATACTGGAACTCTTACTTAATTGTTTATCAAATTGTGGGCCGCTACGGTCCACCGAGTGGTCCGTTGGCGGTGTCAGGGGAAAAACATTGAAACAATCTGTACCATATNATTCAGGGTCTCTGTTTCAGCCAAATTTATGGATAGAAAAGGGTGGTTTACAGCAAATATAACTACAATTTTGCACCTATTCGCATAAAAAAGCGCAACTGAATGTTATTTGCGGATAAGGGGATGCCGCGATAGCTGAGTGGTCCGCTTCACGCTTCGTCCGATTTATCCCCGCGAAAGCAGCCTCTTGATCCTGCCGGGAATTAATTCCCTATTTATCGGTCATCCAGACGTAGCCTATCGTCATATCGGCTACAGGGAGTCGAATAAAAACGCTTGATTAAATTGTGAAATGTAGTAACTCTAGGTGATCAATCAATTACAACAAGTAACTGCCATACAAATCATCAGGACAATATTTTCTTTTCTGTTTATTTTATGTATATAACGCAATTAGGGGTTTTCCGTTAAATAGAGGCCTGATAAAAACTGTGATATAGCTTTATGCATTAAAAAACTTTATGGTTCTAAATGAATAGAAAATTTCCAGTTGATTACAAACACGCAATTTACTGTAGATTCATACCCCTTCATAAGACTCGTCACAAAAGAAATACAAATTAATATTGTCGTTACAGAGTAAGGCAAATTAAGTAATTGCATGAAATGTTCCAACTTATTAATTACATTAGCGATCGACGTAAAAAATATTTTATTCCTTCGTTTCACTCAGTCCAGGAATTCGACGCTGTGAAACGTTTATCTGCACAACCGCTTTAAAGTTACCAAGACACTCTAAGACGAGCTGCGCATCCTTACACGCAGGTATGATCTAAAGAACTGACTCTCAGAACTCATCACTGGGCGGCAGTAATCATGTGTGGCTGGATGTAACCTTAAGGGATTCGACGTTTTATCCAGAAATATTATTTGTTACTTTCAGCTTGTTGTAAAATAATAATAATAATAATAATAATAATAATAATAATAATAATAATGTTTCTAATGTCATTACTTAATTTCATGATATATTTTTGGTGCGTTTTCTTTGACGGAAATAAGAGTTGTTCCTGTGCTTAACTAATTAAGCACTACGCCATGAAGGCGTATGTGGGAAAGAGCCACAGGTATCCATTGGATAGGGGGCTGGATGGACCCCAGAGCCAGTTTGAATGACGTGGAGAAGAGAAATCTCTTGACCCTATCAGGGCTCGAACTCCGACCCCTCGGTCGTCCAGCCTGTAGCCAGTCGCTATACCGACTGAGCTATTCCGGCTCCTGTTTTCTTTGATGTGAGAACAAAATTTCTATACAGTAAGACCTCACTAATTCGGACTGACTGGGAGTGAAACCTTGTCCAATTTGGTGGAAGCCCTAATTTATTTTTCGACCCTGAAGCTTGATGTAATACGTTCTTCCGAAACGTCAAGTTTTCTGCGAACTACACTGAGATACTTGCAAGAGACCGGCAGAAGAATGTGTCATGCTGAAATTGGCTTGCTTACTTTCCGACCCTGAAGACAGAGGCAATGTGTTCGGCGATAGTACCTGGGCCTACTTCGCAACAGTAACCTTTCGAGTTTCTTCCAGTTCATGTTCATTGATCGCCATCATTCGACGCCCTCTAGTCTGAGCCATGGACAGCGTCATTAAATAAACAATAAACAAGATCCCGCCACTGGACACTAGCAAACGGAGACGCTAGTCCACCCATTCACACATTTTAACCTACTTTCCTTCTTTTCAAAAATAAAAGTAGGCTTATGAGATCACAATGCTGTCTGTGAATCCCCCTTTTTTCAACTGCTGAATACCTGAATCAATTCTTAATGAACCTCGGCATGTATTGCATAAGATCTAAGCTCATTTCAAGGGCATACTTCATAAATCACCCTCTTTAGTCTGTGTCCCATTATCGTTGCTAGGTAACGGCTCGGTATAAATGTTACCGCGACAACGAACACATGCAGCAATAGAAGAACTGATGGATGCGTCGTTTTCTATGCGGTCCGTGTTGTTGTAAATGAAATTATGATATTATTTCTTCCCAAAACTGCTTGTCGTCCATTTTAAAATTATTCTGCAACAATTGTCTATGTTTCTAACCGGAATTTTCTCTTCAGGATTTTAGAATAAAATAGGATTGTTTCTCATCTCACCCAGACATGCTACAAGCCCAACCTATCTCAATGTCTAACACAATTAAGTATTTATTTTCAGGTGGAAGTGACGAATCCAAGGCTATCGGAAAGCATGGGGATAATTAGGAAGATGAATACCTTTTGCATGTTTCTTTTAGTCCTCGATGTTACATACAGTCACTGTTTGACAAGAGAGGAAAGTGCGCTGGTGTTGTGTGTGGAAGAAATCGCCATTAGCTACCTTACAGAGGGGCCAGCACTGATGATCTCATTACCAACCACGTCATCTGAAGTATCCCATGTGCATTCAGCAGGCAGCAAATTACAAGTGGCCGACAAGCTCCTGGAGCACATACACAAGAGAACAATCTCGCCTATACTGATCTCTCGTCAAGGTTCCGATTCAACACAGAACATCCTCACGCCTACACATCAGAGCTACATCATTTTACTGTGGCCAGATGAGGCAGACGACCTGACAAGTACCTTAAGAAAACTACTGAACAATATAGTGCTTCTTGATAATATCTTTAATCACAGAGGTAAATTTCTTATAGTTGTAACAGATTTTGGTATACAATTTCCCAATAATTTTGCGATGAATATCACAGAAATACTGCGAAAAGATTATGGTATCATTAATAGCTTGATCATGGTACCGAATACATTTCAACCTACTGAAAATGGAGAGGAATACATTTTCGATTTCTATACCTGGTTCCCATATGAGTCAGAACAATGCGGAACACTCAAAGAGGTTGTCCTTTTGGAACGGTATAGATATGGAAACGACAGATGTGTCTCAACCGGTACATCACTTTTCCCTTCTAAAACTCCCTTAAACATAAATGGTTGTCCAATCAGAATTTCGACCTGTGAAATCCACCCAAATATTATTAAAACATCTGCATACGAGGAAGAAGGTGACAGTGTGATATATCAATACAGAGGGGCTGAAATTGAGTATCTCCTTCTTTTGAGTGAAGCAATGAATATGACCGTAAAATTTCTCCCAACTACTGATGACAAAATGCTTCTATCTGATTGCTTTTTTCATGTCTTAACATCAATATATACCGGGGAGGCTGAAATTGCAATGGGCAGTTTACCACTAAATTTTCGAGCTGTTTCGTTCGGTGATCCAACAGTACCTTACATCTATAACTCATACAAATGGTATGTACCATGTGCAAGACCTATTCGCAAAATAGACAATGTTATGAATATTTTCACCGCTTCTACTTGGTTAGCTTTAATTTTAGTGCTCGCTTTGTCATCTCTCTCATTCTGGGCAATAGCCAATAGCCCTAGTACTTCCTCGATACAGGAGTCAAGAGCATACAAGTCACTATCACAGACATTCAATTATGCTTGGGCTGTTTTGGTAGGAGTGTCCGTTGCACAAATGCCCGTAACTTTTAGAATGAGGGGTTTCTTCTTTCTATTTGTCTGTTACTGTTTTGCAATAAACACAATATTCCAAGCATTTTTCACTTCATATCTAATCGAACCGAGATTTGATAAACAGATTGGAACATTTGATGACCTTAATACCTCTGGAATAACATACCTTAAACACCCTTCGCTGAGCAAATTAGCTCTTTATATAAACTACGACCAACACGAAAAACTAAGAATTCCCCAAGAAAACTGCGAAAACTACACAGAATGCATGTTACGCTTCCTGGAAGGGACAGACGTCACGGTCATGGTTACAGATATTTGGGCAGAATATTTTGCGTTCACTACAGGACGAGACAAGAGCTCGTTGTGCACAATTGATGAGAACGTATTCACCATGGGTCTAGCCATGTACGTACCCAAGGATTTCCCTCTTCTGCAGAGATTTAATGCATTATTACGGCGCTGTTTGGAAGCGGGGCTTGGACAGAAATATTGGTCAGAACTGACTTGGAACGAGAGTTTACACAAATATCATCAAGGTGACAGTGATAATGAACATGACAGCATGTACTTTGCATTCACGACGTTCCATCTGCGAATAGCGTTTTGTTTGCTTGCTTTCGGGGGTGCCATGAGTTGCATCGCTTTTATAGCTGAACTCATAACAAAGCATTTCGGGCAGTTGTTTACGGTAGAGTAAGAAACATCATAATGTTATGATTTTATTGAGTGACTACGGACGCGGTTTGGATTGCTAATTGGGTTTATTGAACACTTACAGAACGTAACTACCAGTAAGTGCAGAGCTCTCGCTAATTCACACACTCTGCAGTTCACTATAACGCGTACGGGTTCTTCTCACTCTGCGGTGTCTTCACCAGTTGACTTCCCCCTGTTACCGGGCTCACGCCCTCGCAGGCTGGCGACCATCTCACAGCAACTCCCTACTCTTCTAACTGCTGTCTCAAGACTCTCCTCTAAAATCAAAGAGTCAGAGTCAGAGTCAGA